CCTCTCTCTCTCTCTCTCTCTCTTTTTTTTCCCGGACCAGTCTATCTCACTCTTTTTCTCTCTTGTTTTGCATGGACCCAAACAAAAGTCCCAACAATATGTCATTAAGTTCTTGTGTAGAGGTATGTGGATCTTGCGCAATGTAGTGCTAAATAACATCAAAAGTTTTCTCGCTGACAGAAGCATTTGGGTGGCCAGAGCATGGGTCATCCAAAACAGTGTTTCTCCCTTCGTTAAATTCTATTACCTAACAACAAACCGCGTTATATGAACATGCAGATTTTCAACAAAAATTTTCATAGATTACTTCAAGTTTACATTGCATAAAGATGTAAAATGAATGTCTTTTGTGAACTTCACCTTGTCTCTTTCAGAACGCGAACTATCATTTGTTTGTGACGTCGTAAGATTATCAAGAGTGACGTCACATGAAATTCTTTATGGTTGGTTCGAGAACAGGCAGCATATAGACACATTATGTGTATTAATTTTACGATAGAGTCGATATTTTTGCCGTTAGAAGGTAACTTTTAGAATTTCTGATCCACCCTCATATTTCGCTTTGCTGTTCTTATGTTCTTATTAGAACTCAGCGTCAACAGTCCTGTTTTGTCGTGATATGGCACGAGACAAACATAAGACTCGACAAAAGTTAAAGGTTGGTGGGCCCTGTGGTGTGGTATGCCACACGTCTGACCGTGGTCAAACATCTGTCGTCCTAATCTTTCCTCATCCTTTTTTTGTTGTTCTTGTTGTTGTTGTTACTCTCTTGTAATATCTCTAATCTTCGGCCTTTATATGCCCTTTATTGTTTTACAGATGCCGTAAAACCCTTACTTATACAAAACGAAAGATCCGACAAAAGACCCATACGCTTAGCCTACTAGTGTTGGCGATTTTAGATCTTTATTGTGCATAAAGATCTAAAAAGACTACAAAACCGTTCGACTTTTGCAGTCTGTGGCAGCAGGTTATTGGTCTACTGTTGGTTGACCCTGAAGCGCCCTCGGTGGACAAGGCGAGTTGTGTTCTCGCCAGGCTATCTAGCACTTTGGTGAGCTCGGTGGTAACTGTCCTCTAATTCCTGTTTTATGTTCTCGACGTCCGCGGCCTTTGTTGAGGGATAACAAGAGGTCTCCCTTGTGTATTGGCTGGGCCCGGACGGACAGACGTTGTTGTACTATGGCGCTCCTGTTGTCTGTCCACTGTGACTGTTCTGTTATGTTCCTTCGATCGGTGAGCTTTCTGCTTATTCCTACCTTACCCATCTCTTGAGTTCGCTTCGTGTGGTGTTACCTTTGTTGTTGTTGTTGTGCATTTTTTTCCTTCTTTACTTGTTTTTTGGTTGTTGTTGTTTTTTTTGTTTTTGTTGTTGTTGTTGTTGTTGTTTTGGGGGGGGGTCACTGCTCACGAAGGCATTAAGTGATAGGTGGGATAGGGGACACGCCGCTCACCGAAGCAGAAGGTGGCTCTTAAAAAG